AGCCAGTCCCCAACCCGGGGACTTCCGGACGGGGACTTCGGGTGGCACTATACGCCGTGAAGTTGTTTGCGGCCTGCCAGTAACGCAGCGTCCACACGGCGGCGTGCGTTTAAGCTTGCCGGTGAGCTTGTCTGAAACTCGACCAACAACCAATCATATGAATCTCCCGCCCCGGACACACAAGCACGCGGTTTGATTGGCTAGAGCTTGTACTGGCATATGATTTGATTGGCTGACGCTTCCGCCGAACATTGAACATTGCTCAACTTTTGAAGCGAGCAAAGCGTAGCAACGCTCCCACAATGCAGTTCGTCAAAGCGTGACGTCACCCCATTCACTTTAATACAGCTACACCATTGTTTGGTTTCCATGGTAGCGCGTCTCTTTAGTAGTGCGCGCAACTGAAAGTCTGAGAGGGTGAGGCAGATAGTCACAGAAAACTGAACAAGAATCGACAACTCGACCCTCTGCTCACTCCTTTCCTGTAAAATACCGGTCCAGCCCACACATATGCTCCATCAAGGATGGTGCTACAGGCCGCAAGGCATTGGACTTACAACTACAAAGCAGAAGAAGAAGTGACGTCAGCAGTTTCATTTTCATAATCTTCCCTCAGGGAACTTATTCCGGTGTGAACGCGATCTGCTCTTAGTTCCATGGGGGTGCTAAGTGCTGGGAACTAAGTATGGCAAAGTACTTGGTGTGAAAGCGGCTATTATCCTGCTTTAGCCTCTTGGTCTTTTAACCATCTTCGGTCCAGCCCTCATAATCAGCTGGTCATCTTCCTGATTGAAACTAAACTGAGTTTTATAAAATGAACTTACTTTTTCATGACTTCCTATAAAAAAAATATAAAATAATTGATACAAAAATCTCAAGGGAAAACTGGCTTCTTCTAGTGCAGCAAATAATTCTGTCTTACTTATGGTTGAAGAAGCAGGGGAATGTATCAAGGCTTAAAGAAGTGCCGGACAAGATATGTTTTATTACCCAGTTCTGTAGGTAACTACAGGACCCCTGACCACATTGCCAGACTAATGAGGCACAATGTGTGTACACATAAGGTTAATGTTTGAAGAGACACATGCCATTTCTATTGGCTGTGGACCCTAAACCAGACACTTCCCTATGTTAGCAAATGTCACTTATGTGCCTCAGATCACATGACCTCTTTGTCGTCGGGAATAATATGTTTTGATACTATTAAAACATGTGCCTATACAATCTACCTACCTCAACCGTTTGGGTACTTTTGTATATGAATTTTAACCTTTATAATCACTTGTATTTTTCGATTCTATGTTATACGAAGTATAAACAGGAGGGATATGTTGGAGAAAATGCAAGTTGTCTCCTCTTATGGGCCTACATTTATTGATACTGTGGGTGTGTATGACACAGACGAGACATATTTGTTGACTTTCTCTGCTCCTTCTTGAAAGAATAAATTAGTACCTGACTATTGATTCTCAACCCGGTGTAGAGTCATATTTTCCTAACAAATGGTGAATGTACGAATGGAGGGTTACACAATTAATATGGACAGTAAATCAGATGTTTGGCAAAAACTGAAAACTATAGTAGAAACACTCTTAACAGCGGAAAGATGCAGGGAAGTATTTTGGGAGATTAAACCCTAATCTAAGTATGAGGATTATCCATGTAAAGGACATTTGCATCCTTGATAAACTTCAAACACGTGTGTTTTTTAGAAAGACAGAAAACAACAACTTATTCCCAGCGAGTTTGTTTATTTCTGGTAAAACAGTAAAACACAAACAAATTGTAAAATAATTATGCAAACGACACTACTTCGCAGTTCTTGTTTCATATAAAAAAAATTGAAAAATATTGCTTTAAGTAGAAAAGTATGAAAATATAAAGATGTAAATTAAATAAAACCGAATGTCAAAAAGTTACGTTTTGCATAAAATATGTTTATCAGACTTAAGAGTTGAAGACTTTGCGAGCAATGTAAACAAATGACAATATTATATGTAAACTGATGAGAACAGATGTGACACATATACAGCAGTTACATAATGGACACATTAGTTGGAACACATTTATACAAAACTGGCAACTTCAATTTCCTCAATATTGCCTTTGCAGTACAAAAACACAAAATACCTAATTTCTGTAAGTCTTTGCAAGACATCTTTCTCTTGAGGAATTTTGCAGACAGAAGAAAATCTTCGACCTAAAAAGCTTGTCTACTTCCTGTCAAGTTATTTATCCACGGGTGGCTGCATCTTGTCCTTGTATTTCTTCTGAAAAGCATGGAAGACGTTGTCGGTCTTGGGGGTGGGAGGTATTAACATATTCTTCTCTTCTGGATTTTGATACCAAGCTTTATTTGTAATACCTCTTGCCCTCTTAATAGTTTTGCTTGGGCTATCGTCCTTTTCTTCAACGAGGTCAGAATTGCCTGGGGAAAAAAAGTATTTTTAAAAAACAAAATCACAACAGAATTCATTACCACTGATACACTGTAAAAGTTCAAGATTCCTGAGTTTGGCTGTCAAACATATTAATGCATGTAAATATATGCAGTTTTTTTTAATTCTGCGCACCAATGTCCACAAAGTGGCTTTTTTAAATATCGAATTGTTTTAATTAACAATTATATTTTCTTCATTGAATCTGAATTTAGCGCCTCTCTTTTGAACATGCCCATCAGAACTCTGACTAGTACATTGCAATTCTGTCCTAACACACAAGGCAATTTGTTGCTAAATACTAATAAAGACCTTTTGCCATATTTTTTAACTTCCCGGGTGTGTATGACGAGTCCTAAAATCCCTCATATGATTACATAGTTAAATAAAAATGTTCATTGATAAGATTTATTGAGTTTTCTTTTTAGTATGGTGCTTAAATTGCTCAATACAAATATTTACCTGGAAGAGGATCATCGTTTTCCTTTCTGCCATTAGAGCCGTCTTTGAAGTCGAAGGTTTTGGGTAAGACACCGAACTTCAGGACATCGTTCTTCAGGTGAGGCATGACAGCACTGCTCTCATTTTCCTCCTCACTTTTCTCTTGATCTGCAGGCTGGGAGAGTGTGGCGGTGCGTCTCTTGGTCTTCTCCCCTACACGTTGGGACCTCCTCTTCTTCAGACTCAGGCATGGCCTAGTTGTTCCACTCAAGATCCTCGTTTCAGAGGAAATTGGCAGCTCCTCTGTGTTGGCGGGGTCAACCTTTTCAGCTTTCTTCAGACTTGGTACAGACGAAGTGGCTAGAGTACACTTCTGCGTTTTGAGTTTGTGTCTGTGCTTCATTTTGGTTGGTGGGAAAGATATCCTTGATTTTTCACAAAGCCTTCGCTTGTCTGAATGTTTCCTTGCCAAGGCTTTCTCAGACTCTCTCTTCATAGGACTGAGTTTAATGGTGAGAACAATCGGAGGGTTTTGCACTACCGCAGAAACAGCTTCGACAGATGACACGTGGCTCTTTCTGCTGCCCATCAAAACACACTTGTTTTGTGCTGATGAGCCAAACAGTACCAGTTGTACAGTTTGAGCGTTAGAGGCTGATGGTTCGTTATCAGTTGCACAGATGAAAACCTTCTCATTCGAAGCGCCCTCAAGGACACGCTGAGATTCAAAAAGGGGTTTGCGTTTCTTAGATTTCTGGAAGAGTGGATAAAAAACATTGTGCTTCGTCTCTTCTCTCCTAAAAACAGCGTCATGTTTACCACTACAAGTTGTCTTTGGAGAACTGGTCGCAGCTTGAGTTTGTCCGTCCTCAGTTTTCCAATGATAACTTTCAGTCTTACTTTGTTCGGTTTCTTTTTTTTTATTTCTTGCTAGTTCCAAATCCTTTTCCAGGTCTGGCATCAGTTTGGGAACTTCATTATCACTGCCCGACAGATGATCTGTGTTTTCACTTATAAGTATAACGCTAGACTCGCTACTATTTATCCTTAGCTGGGAAACATTATTTGGATCATTGTCAGAACATGAGTGAGCTTTCTCATTATCTTCAGGTAAGTCAATGGTGATTTCAAGTTCATTGCAAATCTCAAGCAAATTAAGTGTCTCAACCCGATTGCCGACATTCTTGTCGCCCTCAGCGGGCTTCTTTCCTTCAGGGACAGTGTGGAATTTGCTGTCAGACCCGAATGCACACATTTGATCTTCCTTATGTACTGCAATCTCTTCCATATCAAGGGTTTGGTCTGGTATATCTTCATAATTTCTCACACACTCGCATTTACTCAAAGAAGCAGGGTTTGACCCCCAAATTTGTTCCATAAACCTCACAACGCAGCAAACCTGGTCTACTGGAGAGAATGACTTGCTCTCCAGTAATGTGTTACTCAATGTGGAACCTGTATCCGTAGGCAGCTCACCCTCCACAGGGCTTTTTGTGACTCTCTTTGGTTGATTGTGTGTGTCCATACTTGTTGGCAGCTTGCTTTGTAATTGCTCATAGATGACTTTGGCCTCTGCTTGAGATAAAACTTGGATTTGAAAAGAGCAATGAGAGTCACTGGAATCGTCAATTTCTGTTCCATAAGGAGAAGCAGTACTTGTTGAATCGGCATCCACAGTTGAGTCTTGCTTTTCCTCACTCAATTCAATAATGCCAGGAATACCGTTGTCTATCTGGACCTGATCTAACTGGCTTTCACTCTCAAGACGATGCTTCAAAGACCGTGGCAAGTCAAACTCTTTGTCAATCTCATCGAGCTGCTCATTGACATTCAACCATGATGATGTGTAGGGTGGGGCTGAATAAACTTCATTATATTTGAGGACATGGCAGTGTTTGAATTGCTCACTAAAGCATCCGTCTACTTGTAACAGTCTGACAGAGTCTGGCGTTGCATCTTTGACATATTCATGAGCTTCCTTTATTAAATCCTTGAACCAGTCTGGATTTCGCATAGATACCATATCTTTAAACATGTCAGTTTGCATTTTGTAGTCAGAGTCTAATTTCGCAAACCCATATGACTCTGTATGTGCTTTTTCTTCTTTTTGTATCAACTCAGTTAATGCGTTTAGTGTCCATGGTATTGTTGGGATGGAGGAGAGGTCAAGTACCTCTTTTGGATCTGTTTGCCTCTCACTTTGGTCCTTTTCACTGCTTTGGCTTACAGGCAATTTGGAGGTTACAGATTGTTCCACGTTTAGTGCCAATGGATGGTCTACTTGCATGTTTAAAGGCGATTGAGATACTGTGTCATCAGCAAACAACAGTTTTTTAGACAAGTCATGAGTCTCAGCTGAAACTAAATATGATTCAAAGGTATCAGCCTTGTTTGCTGCTGAATGCGTGATTGCAGATTTGTCAACAGACAATTGACTGACCGTGGTAGAACTGGTCTGCTTGCTGGCATCCTGGTAGCTTTCCTGCGACAATGGCTGCACAACAGCAACAGCTCTTGTGCGTCCAGGAGAAGAGTGAATGGAGCTGGCATTTGCCTTGACTGACGAGACTTTCTCAACCCATTCACGACTAATTGCTGCTGATGATTGAGTCTTCATTTTCTGTGAAGAAATGCCTTCAGGCAACTGCTTCAGATGAGGCGCATCCCTTAAAGACACAACATTTTTCGGGGGGGGACGGGCATAGGCTGCTATACTTCCATTTCCACCTTTATTTTGTTTTGCATAAAAAAACTTTTGTGCAGTGCTTTGCTGAAGTTGGACATCTTGGCTGTGCTGTGGTGACATGGGAATGTGGTTGTTTGTAGGCAAAGAAAGTCCAGAATTGATTGGCAAATACATGGAGGCATTTGAGTTATAAGAATCATTAGATGTCACAGGCTGCATATAATTATTAGACTCTGCCATTCTGTCCTGGCTGACAGACAGCTTTCCTTCAATAGAGAAACGTGTATCCTCTTCACTGTGTAGGAATACCAGAAGTTCGGCGATTTTTTTATTTTTTTGCATTTCCTGAGGTGTAACAGCAGAATGTTGAAAGCTTGTCTCATGCTGCCTGCTATATGAATTTGGGTTAATGGTAGAGGTAGCCGCTTCCCCATTGTAATGTGTCGAGTATTGTTGAGTTTTCGGACTTCGGTTGGAAACATGCACATTCTGTAAACTTGAGCGTGAGTTTGTTGTCGTGCTGTCGTTTCTGAAAGACTTAGACGTGGCTGCATCATAACTTGGAGGGGGAATTGAAGGGGAGAAACCATGCTGAGTGGCATTTGGCCTGTGATTAGGGTTATAAGGAGCAGGTCTTCTGTGTACGGCAGCCGTGTCAATCACCTCTACGTTTGGAGCCGGGGTAGCTGTTGTGTTGTATCTTGGAACAGGATATGTCGACGTTCCTTTATAGATTAAGTTATTCTGATCTCTAGAATTTTGGAGATCAGCTACAACATTACCATCCTGTGTCCTTTCTGGTTGATTCCCAGGAACTCTAGCTGATTGGTTCTGAAGATAAGACATGTCTTCCTGAGAGTATGTTGTTTTTGCTTTCATCATGTTGGGTTGACTTTGGATCAATGAATTCTGAGAATATTTCTTATGAAAATCTTGCTGAAATCCATTAGAGGCAGGCAAACCAGGATTTCCTCTTTCAGTATTATTGGAGCGTTGCTCGTTGTTTCTCAACAACCTAAGCACATAGTTCTTGTTCCCCCAGCCTGACAGCTGATCCGAAACTGCCTGACGAGGAAGTGATATGGTCTGCCGATTTGATGGTTGTCTGCTTGAGTAAACTCCATCATGATGGTTGTAATTAGCTCTCGGTGGTTGTTGGACTCCTGTGTTCGCCGTCATGTACTGGTTATTTGCAATCCTAGCTTGCGTATTCATCATCGTCTCGTGGCTCACCTGAGCGGCAGCCTGTGATGCCTGAGAAAGTTGTCCCACCGGCTGGTACTGGCCATTAATCCAAAAAAAAGACTGCATTTTTTATCATCTGTTGAAGTACCAGAGTGAAAGCTGGTTTTCCTGAAAGAAGAACAAAAAACTATTAACATACTGTTAGGAAAATATCACTCGACACCGGGTTGAGAATCAATAGTCAGGTACTAATTTATTCTTGCAAGAAGGAGCAGAGCTAAGTCACATACAAAGGATATGGTTCAACTCACACACAGGGCCGGACTGGGACAATAAGTCAGGCCGGGAATTATACACCCAGCCAGGCCACTACCAGTTTTCTTTTGTGCCATTTTCCTGGATTTATTGGTCAATATTTACAGCGTTGCTGCCCATAGTGATAGCCCTAAACTTTAAATCTACTAGGCCTACGCCAGAATAAACATATGGACATGGGTTACTATTTTTTTTTTTTTAGCAAAACTATTTATGAACCTATCCATGGGAACATATTTTAAGTGGAGGTGGACCTCAAATCCTCTAGGGGGGTCCCGTGACATGCTCCCCCGGTAA